GTTGGATAATTCTTGTCCAGCGGGGCTTTGCCCTGGGCTTCCCTGCTGCTCGGGGGAGAGGACAGGGATTAGCCCTGAGATGTTTTTTCATTTCCCTGCTGCTCACTTGAAGTTTTTGGGGCCAGCCTGGCAGGGTCAGGGCTGTGCAGCCGTGATGGAAATTTCACCAGCCTATGTCACTTAAAGGGGGGAAATTTTTACTGGTGCTGTGACAGAGGCTCGAGGCTGCTTCTGGAGGATGGCTCTGTCTCACCAGAAACTGCAAATAATAATAATTAAAAAAACTCATCCTGCTACCAAGAGCTGAAATTCTGGATTAAAATCTGAGCAGAGTCAACCCTCAGCTTCCCCTTCCCAAAGGTTACAGGCGCCTCTTGATCGGGTGGGAATGTGCTTATCCCAAAAAGGAGCAGGGGTCATCTCTGTACTGGCTGTCCCACAGCAACACTGCTGTGCTTCTCCTTCCTGTGCCGTGCTCCCATTCCAGGATGGACAGGAGAGAGGAGGAGCTCTGGAATCCTGGCCATGGGAGCCTTTGAAAGCTCCCAGGGCTCTCTTTTTACCCATTTCAGGATCCAGCAGGTGCTCAGGGAATGTGCATCCCCTTTCCTGGGAGAAAGGCAGGTGCATCCAGCCGGGTGCTCATGGTGCTGCCCCAGGGACAGCTCCAGGTGCTCCCTGATGGAAACAGCGTGGTGGCTCCCTGCAGAAACCATCGAGTTCTTTCCTGCCCTCAGAAGCAAGAGAAGTGCTCAGAGGCAAATCCCGGGTTTGTTATGGATCAGATCCAAGGAATACAGTTGCTCACCTGCCTAGCCGTGGCTCAGGTTGGAGGTTAAAGAGCAATCTGTGCTGTTTGTGGGGCTGCTGAACAGGGCACGGAGCCGCCCCGGTGCCCCTCATTTCCTGTCACTACAAGCACAGCCTGGCACGGCACAGGAGCTGAAGCTGTGCCTCGGGGCAGCTCCTCACCACTCAGATTTACTGGAATTTATCTCCCTCTCTAGCACAGTGGGCTGAGAGTCCATCTCTTTTTCCTGTAGCTTCCTACTGATAGGAGAATGGGACAGACTGGTGGGTTTGCTGTCCAAATATTGCTGCACATGAGCAATGCAACTCTCAGAGTCTCTTTTGCCACTGGAGCACTTCCTCCTACTAAAGCAATACATAAACAACCTGCATGCAGTGGTGCAGAAACAAGGTCCATCCCCTCTCTTCTGAAGCTGTCTGTGATTCCTGGGATTGCTCCCAAGGCAGGGCAGTTCTCACCCTGTGTCTCAGCTGCCGTTCCAGTTGGGTCTGTTCTTACCCAGCAGTTCTCAGGCTCTTGCATCAGGAAAGTCCCTTTTCCCATCTGGACTCTGCTGCCTTCCCACCCACGTTCCACTCCTGCACTTCTGCTCCTGGGATGTCTCCTCGGGGCTCTGAGGCTGCAGACTCTGCTCCTGGCTCCCAGCCCCAGCTCAGCCTTTTGAGGGTGGGAGTTGCTGCTTGGAGCAGCCTGGCCCTTCTGACAGCAGCAGGATTAAAGGCATCCACTGTCTGCAGCCCTTGAAACCAGGTGAAGATGTTGCCTTTCCCCAAAATACCCTTTTCTCCTCCTAAAATGTACCTTCTGTGCTGTGGGACTGAAATAAGAATCCTTCCTAACACAGCTTCAAGCCCTCAGCCATTTCGAAGTCCAGCAGTGCCCTGTATGAATCAGACTGTTTTAATTGCTGCTTATTTAGATTTTCTCCAGCTTAGTGCAGACACTTGAACTTTAACCCAGACCTTTGTGATTGAACATATTTACAAACCAAGCTGCCTACTTGCAATGTCCCCATGCAAATATTAGATGTACCAGAAAGCAACTTGGGTTTGTGTCTGGTTAAGGAATTCCTCAGTGTGAGCCTGGAGATGTTGGACAATGTGGAATGAACTCTGCTGAAGTCTGTCTGTACTGTCCTGGTTTTCCTTGGAACTGGGAAAAGCAGTGCCCAGGAGCAGTGTGTGAACAGAGGGTGACACAATCCCTTCTCCTTTCTCCATAAGATATTTCTGTTTGTATCTCACATATTGGAAACAGCTGCTTGCTGAGTTGTTGGATTATATGTAAACCCTGCATTTTGTCATTAGCTTGATTCACCATGGGAATCTGTGACTTTATTTGATGGCTGATCAGGGACAAAAGTACTCAGCAGGAGCTGAGTGTTCCAGTGTGCTGCAGTATCAAAGTTACTGCTGTAATTGCTGCATTTGGGCAGATGAGAAAGCCAAGATTGCAAAGTTTGGTACATAATTTGCTCTTCATAACATTTCACAGAAGCAGGAGAGGTGCACAGACCCATGTGTGGATTACTATACTCTTATACAAGGTCTTTAATTGATGTTGGGCAAATGATGTAATTTTTCTGGGAGTTGTGGAACCAGAGGAAAGACCCCTCTGCTCCAAAGGGCTTTGGCTCCCAGCTGTCCTTCAGTTCATAGGTGAAGTTAGAATTCAAATCTCAAGTTCCCCTTTGACTTCAGGAGGCCCAGAGCTGCACTTTGGAGTTTGTGATGCACAGAGATGTGCATCTGCCACTGGAAAAAGCCTCTTTCAACCAGAGCAGAAAAATACGAGGCTGCTCAGTTTTTTCCTTGGGTCTTCTGAAGTCAGGCACTGCAGCCTCACCCATAGCTGAGGACACAGCAGTCCCCAGGTCTGTGCCACACGGGGTCACCTTAAATTAAGTCAAATTTGCTCAGATTGGTGCTGGACAGCAGTGGCAGGGAGCTCAGAGCTGGAGCCTGTGGGGCAGGAGGGGTGGAGAGGGCAGGGAGCTGTTGGTGCTCCCTCTGCCTCCTCCTCTCCACGGTGAATGTCAGAGCTCTATCGACTGCCCTCCCTTTGAATGAGCTCCAGGAGCAGGCAGAGTACACTGAATAATTCAGGACAGACGTGTGTTTAAATATTTGCACAAGCCTCAGATTCCTCCTGCCTGAAAATAAGACTGGCAGAGAGCAAATGATTCCTGCTGGAGGTGTTGGTGGATGGACAGCAGAGCTGGGCACCCCATCCCAGCAGCCAGGACCCCACCCGTGGGTCTCATCCCCATTGCTGGGACCAGCCTGGGGCTGAGGGTGGTGGGAAGTTCAAGGCCATGAGTCAAGGGCTGCACAAACAAGGGCAGCACCCACACAGGCAGGTTTGGCCTGGTGGTGGCAAAGAGCCCTAAAGAAAGGGCTGGTAGAGAGGAACAGGGGAGGTCAATGAGCATCAGTGGTTTAATTGGAACAAGGAGAGCTGTTTCCCATGATGGGAGTCTCACCTCCTGCTTTTTTAAAATACAGACAGCACGCCTGTATGATAACACACAAAAAGGTGACAGTGTTGGAGCAGATTCTTCCAGAGGGAAGTGGATGAGGAGGAGTCAATCCCTCTCCCATGGAAGCACAGGCTGTGCTGGGTGAGGTGGTCACAAATCACAGAGACAACGTGAGAAGCTCCACGAGGATGTTCCTGGTTTGGTGTGTTCCGTGTGCTCACGTTCCCAGAGTGATAAAAAAGTCGTGTGGTTGCTTGAGCAAAATCTCCTCCCTGTGCAGAACATCCACATCTCCTGCATCCAAAGCCTTGCTGTATCCTGGTTTGAAATGGATCCAGGGGATCTGGAAATGCAAATTTCCAGAGGTTTATTGCTAATGAAGCCTAATTAATTTTGGATGTAAATGTGCCAAGCTTCTGCAGTTGTGTGCAGTCCCATTAAAGGAAAACTCAGAGCTGTTCTATCTGAAAATTATCAGAGGAACAAGGTCTGTTTAGTTCCTTCTTAGACTCTGGACTTCTCCCTTCCTCACCTCTTGAACTCAGCTAAGTTAAAGGAAATGTCACAGCCCTTTAAAACATCTGCCTGAAATACAAGAGGAAATGAGGAAAACCAAGAGATGGGAGAAAATTCCTACACTGCTCCTCACCTCCATAGGTTTTGTGGACTGGAATAGTAAGTTCAGCTATTTCCACCAGAATTTGTGTTGCAGTCTGGATGTTCTCAGTAGGTTTGAAACCCATATTCAAGAGCACTGTAGCACTGTGACAATTCTCCTCTTAATGTGGCCATTTAAAGGCCACCCAGGGTGACAGAGACCAGCCAGAACATCACATTTCTCTAAGACCCTGACACTTTCTTTTTGCCCTTCCCACAGCAGCCATGTGGTCCTGCTGACTCCATTCAACTAGCACAGCTGAACTGGAGCACTCAGCTCATCCTTAATGGGAAAATACTCCACTTCCCTCCAGATTTGGGGCTTGTTTGCCATCCTGCCTGGATTTCTGAATCCTCTGTGCCATTATGAACAGCACCCTTCCTGGAAACACAACCTTAATTACCAATCTCCTTATGACAGAGGGAGGGGGAGTATGGTAAATCCCACCTCAAAATGCTGCTTTATGACTCAGAGTGAGGAATTGTAATTTCCAAAGGTGCACATGAGGAAAACAGCAGCAGCAGAGTGAGCTTTGGAATTTGTCCAGGCATTAAATATTTTAGAAATGCTATGTGCTCTGTGTCACGTGTGTCCCCCTGTATGGGACAGGGAACCTGGACAGTGCTGGGACAGAGAGGGACATAATCAATATTGGATCATTTTAGTGACAAACGTGGCATTTCCAATATGGAAATATTAAATTATTGCTCAGGTTGAGGTGACTGCTCTGCTTTGTGCCTCCTCACCAGCACACTCCGCTTCCAGTAAGTGCTAAAGCTGCCCTTATAAAACCCAGCTGTTGCACATAAGCTTTTTCTGGGATATATATATATCTCCCAGAAAAAAATATCCATATATATCCATAAATATCCGTGGATGGGGAGTCAGTCTATGAGCAGCAGCATTGTCTAGCTCTGGTGGTGTGGCTGGCAGGCAGCCAGGCAGCGAGTGGGTACCTGTGAGCTGTGCCAGCAGCAAGCTCATCCTTCTGGAAAGGGCTGTGCTGGGAAGTGGATGAGCTCAAGAAAATGCATTTGAGCTTCTGGGCAGTATTGATTTGTCTTGATGTATTTTATTTATCTGCTTGAAACACAATAAAAACGTGCTGGTGGAAAGAGTTGGAGTTCAGGGGAGGGGGAGTCAGAAGTGGGGTTTGGAGCTGGCCACCATCACCATCTTCCTCCCCTGCAGTTTCTTCTTCCCAGCAAGGCAGCAGAAGGGATATTTTTCAGCAGAGAAATCTGGGGAGGGGAAATGAAAATAAAACTTGGTTTGTTTTGATGTAAGAACAATGAAGAAGCAGAGAGATGGCAACGGGAAAAAGCAGACAGTGAGGGCAAGCAGCAACATGAACACGCCTGCTGCAGGGCTGGGACATGGCACAGCACCTTCACACTCCCCAGCTTGGAGCACAGTGAGAGAACTCATCCCCCCGGCCAGGAAAGTCGGGAATTGAGCTCCTGTTCCAGCTCCCACCCACGGCTCTGGCAGCTCGCTGCAGCCTGCCCAGGAAATCCCCCTGCACTTGGCACCCTGGCAACCAAAATCTAATCTCTGGTTTGCCAAGTACCCTTGGACCACATACATGAAGTAGCTCTCCTTCCCCCAAACTGAGATTATTAGCTTAAAAAAAAAGCGTTGGGCACGGTGTTTAGAAGTAGTTAATTACTCTGAAGCAATTCACACCTTCCCCCTGTCTCAAAATAAATTCTCTTGCTTCCTTTTCCAAGCACAGCTCTCTGAAAGCCGTGTCACCAGCGGGGTTTCACGCATGTTCTGTGAGCACAGGAAGCTGAAGATAAATTCAGCAACAGATCAGATGTAGAGAACTTGTGCACTTGGCTGTCTATTTATACACTCCACGAGCAGCCAGGGGCCCCACGGGCTCTGAGGTGTTCTGTGGGGTACCCAAAATCCCACTGAAGGGCTGCTTTGGAGCACCCAGGGTTTGGTTGGGTGCTGCTCCTCCTGGCCTTGCATCCTGGCTGGTCCCCATCCTCCAGCACAGGGAGAACCAAAAATATAATTCATAAAATGGTTTCTGATTTCCACAGCGCTCTGCAGAATCGTGTGAGGGCACAGAGCTGTTCTCAGAATGCTTTCAAATCCTACTGCAGGTTAGGGAATTTTACATCTCCTTTTACTCATCTCTGACCTCATTGCATCCTCCTGAATTTTGCTGATACGAGTGAGGAGAACCAGGCCCCAGAGTTACCGCCAGGAACAAATCAATGACAAACTGGAACCACTTAGAGAGTGTTAAATCACCTTTACATAAAAGTTCTGTCAATCCCAAGCTGATGCCATCAGTGATTTAAGGCACTTTACCGTATGTCCCTCACTGTAACTTGAAATACTATTTTAAAAAGAGCTTTTAAAACATATAAACTGTTTAAAGTGAAGTGCAAATACCCATTTCAGAGGGAAAGGTAAAGCTTGAAATCAAACTGCAGAGTGGATGAGTACGGAATAATCCATGCATCCATTCCTCTCCTTTAAAGAAGGCTGCAAGGAGAAATTTGTTGGAATTTAGTTTGATTTTTAAACCACAAATACCAAGACAGTCAGATCTCATCTTTTGTATTTTGCCTCTTATTTTTCTGGTGAAGAATATCAGTGCATCCTGGAATTTGCAAAATAAAGAAGGATGTAAGATACAAAATAATTTTTCAGATGTGTCACTGCACACCAGTACTTAGCAGGAAAAAAGAGTTTATTTTTCTTTATTTACTTTTCTGCAGCTCTTTTCCAGCCTATTCTCTTTCTAAGCAAGAAATAAAGCCACAATTACAGATGATTAATTCCTTAGAGAAAACTACTTTAAGAGTTTTAATACAAAATTGCATCCTTCCTGTAGGCTGGAATGTTGTGGTAAACACAGACAATTTTTAGTATAGGTTGGAAATGTCCCCCTGTTATTAACATAGTTCTTGGAGGAATTTTTAGAAGAACATTGATTTCATCCCAGTTACATGTCACAGAACAACCAGCAATGTCCCAAAATCAAGGAAAAGAAGGCAAAACCTCATGTAGCAGACAGGATTGGGAAACTGAACACTCAATTTCAGTGAAATCCAAGTGTCAGAGCAGCTCAGCCCCTGTTTTTTTTTTAAGTGAGGTGTGTGTGAATTTAATTCTGGCTGCAGGACATGGCCTTTGGGATCCTGGGTCATTCCTGGACGTGGTCCTGAGCTCTGGACATGGATTTAGGTGGAAGAGAGGTAAAGCTGCTCTCCTCCACGAGCAGCCCCAGGCTAAGCCACTTATGCAATCCTTGGTCACAACCTCGGCTGGGCTGGGCTGGGTTGAGCAGCTCCGGGATTTAAGAACCTTTGCAGCATCAGTTGCTGTGCTGAGAAACAAGCCCTGCCTGTAAGGCATAAATAATGCAGATCTGGGGTGGTTTTCAGCATGAAAAACCACCAAGAAAAATCATTTTATCCTTATCAAGGCAAAGCCACAGAAAGGGCTGGTGAGAAGGAAAGAGAGTTGTTGGAAGCAGCTCCTGCAGGTGAAATGTGGGGAAAAGGGAGCAAGAGGAGGTCAGGCCTGGGAACCTTGGTACATCCATACATGTTTTAGGTGTTGGCACCCTGGTTACTGAGAATTTTGGGCTTTCTGTGCTGACAGGCACTGACCCCCAAGAGAACACTGCATTTTACCTGAGACCGTGGAGAAGCTTCCAAGATGGAATGACAGAACTGGGATTGTGGGGGTGCATTTTGAATAGAAGTGTGTGACATCACAGGGTGGGAAAATTAGAGTTTAAGGGTTTAGAATATAGTAATATATATAAAGCAAGATAGAAGTTTTAGGGAAGTGGCCGGTCAATTTTCACCTTCTTCACTTCTTCTCCATGGGTTTGGGTGGTTTTCTGTAATTAGAAAAATCTACATTGTGGAACACAGGTGGTTGGTTATTAGGTTGAAAGTAAAAATAATTTAAGTATAATTTCTTAATTAGATAGCTTTTCCTTAAAAGACCTTATAAAGATAAATACGAGGCCATTTTGTGGCTTGTTAGTGAAATGCAGTAGAACTCATCACTTACAAGACTGCAATATAGATAAGAATTAATAAACATCTGAGTCTGAACGTGAAATACCGTGTTTACACATTCAGTCCCGACCCTGACCAAAGCAGAAAAAGAAGATAAAAGTGCAATAGTTAGGGGAAAATCCTTCCCTGGGAGGGAGGAGAGGCCCTGGCACAGGTGCCCAGAGGAGCTGTGGCTGTCCCTGGATCCCTGGCAGTGCCCAAGGCCAGGCTGGACACTGGGGCTGGAGCAGCCTGGGACAGTGGAAAGTGGCAGGGCGTGGAATGAGATGATTTTTAATGTCCCTTCCAATCCAGACCCTTCCATGATTCCATGATTTGCACTGTTTAACCTCTCTTCTTCCAGGCTCAGGCTCTTTTCTAATCTTGAGATTACCAAAGTGATAGGAACAGGGTGAGGCTCCAGCACTTTCCCACAGTGCGTGGTTAATCCAGACCCAGTGACCGTGTAGCTGAGGGAAAAGGTTAACATGGTGCAAAATCATCCAAATTCCACCCTGCTGCTTCCCTGACAGCTCTGGAAACAGGGCTGGCTTGACTCCTCTTGGGAGAGGGGGAAAATGGAATTAGTGATTATTTCTTCAGTTCATAAATTACAACCACCTGGCCATGTGCACTCCCAGGCCAGCAGCACCTGATTCCTGGCTGCTCCCAGGGTGATTTCCCGGAGAAAAGGGACAAAATTCGGGATTGCTACAAGGCAGATGAGCTGGGGCAGAGCAGCTGCAGGGGTGTGTAAGCACCTCAGAACACCAAGAGGCCTTTCACACCTGGTGCTGCCACACACCAGAAAGCCTTGATAAAATTATGTCAGTATTCTTAATCTGAGTTACACGGAGGGGAAATATTTATCAGAATGGGTTTTTTTAATGACCTATTCATCTTTTAGGACAATTCCCCCAAAAGGCAGCAGCAGATTTACTCTTCTGTCAGAAGAAAATGCCAGATACGTGTGGTGTGTGGGAAGCAGGGGCGAATGATTTCATTGAACTGAATCATTTACTTACGCATTTTACTTCCACTTGTGCCGTTTCCTGTGACTTTGACAAGAGTTTGAGACCGCAGTGAAAAAACCGGTTTGTTTTCTGTGCAGACGGGAGGATTGTGAGCATCTCCTCATTTCAGTGAGTTGTTTACACCAGCTCGTTCACATCGGCGTGAGAATGGAAACAAGGTTGTGGCTTTGTAAAAGATGATCCAAACACACCTGACAGGAGGTTGTAGCCAGGTGGGGGTTGGCCTTTTCTCTAACCAGCAACAGGACAAGAAGATGTGGCCGTAAACTGTACCGGGGCTGGTTTAAGTTGGACATCAGCGGGAATTTCTCCATGGAAAGGGCGGTCAGGGCTGGACATCAGGGTCAGGGTTGGACATCAGCGGGAATTTCTCCATGGAAAGGGTGGTCAGGGTTGGACATCAGCAGGAATTTCTCCATGGAAAGGGCGGTCAGGGTTGGACATCAGTGGGAATTTCTCCATGGAAAGGGTGATCAGGGTTGGACATCAGTGGGAATTTCTCCATGGAAAGGGCGGTCAGGGTTGGACATCAGCGGGAATTTCTCCATGGAAAGGGTGGTCAGGCCTCAGGAAGGGCTGTGCAAGACGCTTTGGAGTGTCCATCCCCGAAGGTGTCCAGGGAAGGACTGGGTGAGAGGTTGACACTGAACACTGGTTGGACTGGGTGACCTTGGAGGGCTTTTCCAAGCCCGATGATTCTGTGATTCCCTAATTCTCTAGCTCAACCAGCACCGTGACAAACTGTGAGTATCTGCGGAGGTGCCAGCCGCAGCGTCGGCACTGGGGTGGGGCAGAAGGCCACAGAAGGTGGCACGGCTCGGCTCGGCTCGGCACGGCTCGGCTCGGCTCGGCCGCTCCCCACAGAGCCGCTCCCGCCCCGCGGTGCCTCACCGGGCCCTGGCGCCTCCCCGGGGCGGGCCGGCCCCGCGCATGCTCCGTGCGCTCCGCCGTGCCGGGACCGCCGCCCTCCTCTCTCGGCCGCCGAGCGCCGCGGGCCGTCCCCGGGCTGAGCCGCTCCCGGCCCGGGCTGCCCGCACCGCACCGCCCGGCCCGGCCCGGCCCGGCCCGGCCTGCACCGAGCGCCCCGCGGGACCGCCCCGCCGGGCGCCACGGCAGCGGTGAGTGCGGCCGGCCGGGGGGAGCCGGGGAGGGCGGTGAGGGCGGCGGGCGGCGGGCGCCTTTCCCGGGGAGCGGAGCGGAGCGGGGGCGGCCTGGGGCTCTCCCGGCGGCCGCGCCCGGGGAGCGGAGCTGCTGCGGACCCTGAGCCGAGAGGAACCCGTGCGAAACCTCCGCGTTCCCCCTGTGTCCCAGAGGGTTCGGAGCCGCCGGGTCCCCTCTGTCCCAGAGGGTTCGGAGCCGCTGGGTCCCCTCTGCCCCAGAGGGTTCGGAGGCGCTGGGTCCCCTCTGTCCCAATGGGTTCGGAGCCGCTGGGTCCCCTCTGTCCCGGTGGGTTCGGAGCCGCTGGGTCCCCTCTGTCCCGGAGGGTTCGGAGCCGCTGGGTCCCCTCTGTCCCAGAAGGTTCGGAGGCGCTGTGTCCCCTCTGTCCCGGAGGGTTCGGAGGCGCTGGGTCCCCTCTGTCCCAATGAGTTCGGAGCCGCTGGGTCCCCTCTGTCCCGGAGGGTTCGGAGCCGCTGGGTCTTCTCTGTCCCAATGGGTTCGGAGGCGCTGGGTCCCCTCTGTCCCAATGGGTTCGGAGCCGCTGGGTCCCCTCTGTCCCGGAGGGTTCGGAGCCGCTGGGTCCCCTCTGTCCCAATGGGTTCGGAGGCGCTGGGTCCCCTCTGTCCCAATGGGTTCGGAGGCGCTGGGTCCCCTCTGTCCCAGAGGGTTCGGAGCCGCTGGGTCCCCTGTGCCCCATAGAGGTGCCCCGGTGCTCCGGTGCCCCTTAGCCGGGGTTGCAGCGCTGTCAGAGCCACGTTTGGTGGCAGGAGGAGCAGCGGTGAGGCAGCTCCGGTTGTGGCCGCGGTGGGTTTGGAGGAGTTCGGCTCCCCGGAGCCCCGGGTGAGCGCGGACCGCCGGGGCTCCCTGTGCCGGGGACAGCTGGTGGTGTCCAGCTGTCGGTCTGGCAGCTGTTCCCCTTACACAGGGACGCTTCGGGACATCTTCCACCCTCCTCTGCCCCTTCCCTCACCTAGGGGAGGTAGGTGCCAGCCCTGGCTGGGTATCCATCACCCCAAAGGACATGCAGGGAACCTGGAAAGGTGTGCCGACTGTGCACCTTCTCCAGAAGCCTAAACCATAATTCTGCTCTGTGTGTGTGTTGGATAATGGCTGGGAGTTGGAACTAAATGTATCTTTAATTTGTCTTACAACCCAAACCAATCTATGGTTCTATAGCAGTGTTGAGTTGGGATTTTTAAAATCCATGTATGAGGAGAGCCAGGACAAATCTGAAGCATATTAAGGGCTAATAATGTAGATTGAGAGTAGAAAGGCAACTCGGCAGTGGCTCAGTGCGGCAGGAGAGGATGGATCCAGCCCTGTATAAACAGACACTGTCCTTGTGCTTATGAGGATGCAGTGTCTATTCCAAGGGATTAGCATAATTTCAGGCATGTGTTGAATGCTAAATGCAAGAAAACTTCGGGATTTTTTTTTTTTTATGATTCATTTATTAGGGGAGGCAGATGGAAATAACTCAAAGTCGTGTCAGTGTTTGAGCTAAACTCCAAAGAACCCAACTTTGCAGTTTTATTTCCGAGCAGAGTGGATGTGCTTTGGTGCTGCTTTTTTCGGGTGCTGCAGCTCGTTATTAAGTTCAGTTTTGCCCTTATAAGGGGACTGGGAGGCATTTCCTCCTGGCACTTGTTTTTAAAGCACACAGGAAGTTGCACCTTGATCTGGGTCTGTGTTAGGTGATACCAAGACAGGTGCTTTGAAATGTGGGGCCAGCTCTGGCTGAGCCAAAAAAACCCGTCAGGCTTGAGATGTTAAAGTTTGTCATGGCAGGCAGATGCTACAAATACTTTTTTTGTCAGTACATTTTTGGTGATTCAGTTGTTAAATATGTTTCTGATCCAAGTGTCACAGTATCTGCAAACTGTCCCAAAGCCTGGTGGCACAGCGTGTCTCTGGCCTCTGGGAAAGGTGATGTGAAAAACTTGTAAAAAGCCACGGGGAGTGGGTTTAAACTTACAATATAATAGAACATATTCTAGAACATAACCACAAAACAATAGAATATAAGCACAAAACGTGAATGATTTTTAAGTTTGTGAACTCCTGGAAGGTTGTGCACTGCACAGTTATTCAGAATTAATTGCAAAGTGGCCTTTTTTTGAGAGGTAGCTTCTGTAAATGTTGAGCTGTTTTGGTATGTTCAAATTGTCTGTTCAGTGATTTTAGTTACAAAAAAATCAGGAATATTTAATGCAAAAACTTTGGAAAGCAAACCTGTATCAGCTGCAAAGCAAAAAGCTGAAGTGCACCTGAACAGTCACTCGGGGTAAAAATCAATATTCCTTTTAAACTCCTTTTTTCCCTTGGCCAAACAGAGTCTGCAATTTCAAGTTGTTTGATTATTTTGCCTTACCTCTTTGGGGCTGGAATTAAGGCAGGTTTCTTATAAGTGATATAAATTCAAGAAGTTTAGACAGACACTTCTGAAGTGGTTTAGTCTTGCAAACAAAGACAGAATTCAGAGAAATTAATTCTCTTTTTTGTGTGGAGGGGATAGATCTGTTTTCACAGGTAGCATCCTGTTGGCTTCACCTCTTTCCCACCACCAAGCTCCCCCTGCTCCCTGGATTTGGAGGTGAAACCCCTTTTTCTTCAACTGAACTTTCCTTGGCACCTTCTGATGCCTGATCTGCCTTGTGGAAGAGGCTCAAAATGAGGAAGGGAGCTTCAAAATCCAGCAGGTGGATGGATAATCCTTGTGTTGGGTGGGAATTGCAGCAGAAGGAGCTGTTCTGGTCCATAAAGGGGAAGGTGTTTGCATTATTTGGAGAGGACAAGACTTTCACACATAAAAACAAACCCTTAGGACTGCTTTTATCGAGGTGTATAAAGGGTTGTGAGAATTTCTGACCCAAGAAGGAGCTTGAGAAGCCAGATTGTGGAGGGAACACCGAGTTGGGGCTCGGTTCCTGGTTTGTCTGGTGTCCAACAGCAATTAAAAATGATAAAAGTGTTTTCTTCTGGGTGAAAAACTGGCAATATTCACGTTGTTCTTTTTCAGCCTGGCTAACAGGTTGCAATGCAGGCATTATTCCTGTAAACACACTCAGAGTTGCTTTAGATCTTTGAAGCACTTAAAATGCAATTAGATTTCAGGTATTGGTGAGGCAAACACTTGCTAAATTGATAGAAAATGGCTTTTACAGTTCAAGCACATAATTCAGGCAGTTAATGCTGAGAGCCTGCCTGCAATAAAGCTTTTCATGGTTGATGCAGCTCAGTTTTGCTGGCAGGGTGAGACAGAAATGCTTGAACCTCATCAAAAAGGAAAGTGCAGCTTTAAAAAAATCAGCATTTTGGGGTTTTGGCAGCTCAATTGCCACTTCCATCTCTTGCTGTAGCTTCTGTGCAGGAATTGAAGTGACAGATGAAGGGGGGCTGTTCTCTCACTTGATTTCTTTAGCAGCACTTTGGGGCTCCCATCCAGGATTTGTTTCACACAGATCCTTCCAAAAAACCGAAACAATGCTGAAAACTACTGGGAGAAGTTGCTGAGGGTTTTCTTGGGCAAAATGGCTGCAAGTTTCTCTTGACGGAAAGTGGAGAGGAGGAAGTATAATTTAGTGGTTTTAATGTCCTGTTGCAGACAGGTGGATTTTTAAGGAACATGCCCTGACCATTTTCTTCATGCTGAAGGTCTTTATAAAACTGCAAACAGTTTTGCTGGCTGGAGTAATTATTGGTTGGTTTTTTTTTTTTTTTTCTTTTCCCCTTGAACTGGTTATATAAATGTAACATAAGTTGCATAACTGACAGAAAAATTGAGCTACAGGAAATTGGGAGGGCAGCCTCGATCGACATGGAAAAGTAAAGTCTGGAGCAGTTACTCTGCATATCAATAATGCCTTTTACACAGTGTGGGAGGTTTGATAACAGTGATATTAACGTGGTTCTCTGCATGGGGTGTGATTATGATTATGCACTGAAACTGCTGGCACATGAAATTATTCTGTTTAATTTATTTTAGATTTCCTTCTCCCCCCTCTGGGATGTAAAAGGTAATTCAGGAAATAAAGGAAAAGAGGTGGAAGTGGAGGGAAAAGCAGAGGATTTATGCATTATCCTGAACTGTGGAGAAAAGTCATAGTGAAAGCCTGGGGGAAGGAAAAAAAAAAAAAGGAGTTTTTATATGAGGAGGAAGCAAGCTGCAGAGTAAGGTGGAAATAAGCAGAGAGTAGGAAAATTGTTAAATTAAAATGGTTTGCTGTTGCTGTTGGTCCTGTTTGGATCTGGTTGCCAACAGTTTTCTGGAAATAGCAAGAAGGAGCCTTTATAAGGGGATTTGCTTTGGGAAACTCATCTGTCATAAACCCATTTATCGGCAGCTTTGCTTTATGATAGATTTTACTGCTACTCCTTTGAAGCAGGTCTGCTGCATAAGGGAAGCTCTGCTAATAATGGGAATGAATTCAGTGTTTAATGCAGTATTCTCCGAATTTTGAAGCGTGTGGGGTTTACTGTGAGTCAGGAGTTTGGCCCCAGTTCCCAAAGGCATAATTCTCTTTTAACACAAAATCTGACAACTGCTCTTCCTCCTTCCAGGAGAAAACTCCTAAAGGAAATTTGCACATTCCTCCCTTGTTTATAGAATGA